TTGTTTGCATCAGGCTCAACCGTTTTGGCGAGGTTGTAAACTTTTAGTCGCTCCTCGTCGTACCACAGCTCAATCGAGGGCTCCAACGACCAGTCGACTGCCTCTACACCGACAACCCTCATTTGCGTTCTTGTTTTCCATGATAGGAGGTCCTCTCCTTTCACTGGCGTCCCCCATTGGCCATTACGCTTCCACTCCGATGATGCGGACATTCTAAACACGTCGAAAAAAAAATAAAATGCAATTCAATTGAAAAATTAGCGATGTGTTCTATGATGTTCGTATTGAACAGGTGATCCTCACTCATACTCCTTCCCTCATCAGGCCTACACAGATGTGTCTGAAGCAGATCTCATATCTTGCGTTGATGCAGACATCTTGTCAGGGACGACCAACGACAACTGTGCATTGAGAGTCTCTCACTTACGGATCCGCATACTTGTCTCAGAGCGTTTATTGTTGGTCCATGCCCACACAACGACATCGAGATCTTGCCACCCATCGCCGGATTCTGTTTCGACCTCCCATGCCTTTGTCCATGCATTTGCATACAGTTTTGCGAAGTCACGCTCCCTTCCGCAAGGTGTCTAGTACTAGACACGGATGTCATCCTGCTCCATAACGTGTCCAATCTAGAATGTGCAACCCTTTGCAACATAATCTTCGAATGCGTGGAAGACGATGAAGTTATTGACGACAACGACAATATGCAGTTTGAACTCTGGTTTCAGAGCATCTCTCTTATGACCAACAAAGCAAGGTCTCCTCGTTGGCGAGTTGAGAACATTCGACGAAAGTTGCGGGATATCTTCTTTTTCAGGCATTGGTGCAGGCCGGAAGGCACTTTGAAGGGGCACTGTACCGATGTCCTCTTTCGATATATTTTCGAATTCGTTGAGACGGTCAGTCCTGTAGCGAAGGCGTGTATATTTCATCGCCCTTGTGTGTTCGTCTTGCATCTCTCATTGGCTTCACGAACATTCCCACGATTTTTGAAGAACAAGCACCCCCGCTATTCCGTTAACGAAATCGCCTGCATGCGGGTTAAGCGACTTACGAAAAGGCAAAAACCCCATTGAGGCTCCGTCCACCCGTTCTCTACACCCCTTTTAAACCAATACACTGGCCCAGTCTCGGACTCCCACTTTTTCTTGGTGCAGAACTCTTTGTACAACATCGCAGGGTTGTCCCCATCCATGAAAAAGGAAGAGGTGCGGCGTGGCATGACCCTTGATGTTGTGATCGATGAACGGGTCAATTTCGTTTTTTCAGTCAGCCAGTTCAGTGAGGAACGTGCAATCGACGTCCTCCTCGAATGATGCTTTGAGGACAGTGGAGAGCTTGTCCATGGTGCAGGCATCGCAACTGGACAGTTTCTTCGCGAACAAGCTGAACTTCGCGTCTATATTGGTGTTCGTGTGCCACACTATCATGAACCTCATTTCAACGACCTTGAAGATCCGAAACTTGACAAGCATGGTCATGAAGGCGAACACCTATGAAACACCCGTGGGGGGGTCGCTCTCGGATGGCGGACTCATATACGTCTGCGTCCGCGGCCAGCTTGATCCGCGCAGTGGACCCGATTTTACGTGATTGTTCCTGAATTAAATAATGGGTAAAAAAAACATTAAAAAATATGGGGTTGTAGGGAATTTTAATCCCTACAACCCCCTTTTTTTTTTTTTGGAAACATATATTTTTTAAAAATTATAAAAAATAAAAAACAGAAAAGGTGAAGAAGAGAAATTTAAAAATAAATTCAAGAATTTTTATTCTTTTTTTGGGATTTTTGATTGGCAGTTCTTTGTATTCTTCGTTTTTACTTTTTTGTTTTTTTTTCCATTTTTTTTGTCCTAAGGAAACAATCAACGGAATGGAAAAAAAAAAATATATATATATATATATATATTTTCAGACCTTTTAATATTTGTTTGTGTGTGTGTGTGTGTGTGTGTGTGTGTGTGTGCGTGTGTGTGTGTGTGTGTGTGGGTTTGAGTGTGTGTGTGTTGCATGTGTGTCTCACATGTGATTCGTACGAGTACGACACGTCATACCCGTACTGCTCCGGCTTCGTTCTGCTGGTACACTAGGCACAGGGTAAACACCGCAAGGGGCAAGATCTCACATCGGCGGGGTAAGACCACTCATGGGTCCATTTGTGATGGGGAAACCAAGGCCTATATGGTCGAAGGCCGCATTCTTTTTGCGATAGTGGCGAAGCACGGATATGAGTTCGGGGGAGGGTTGCCATGCGCCAATCGGTTCGAAATTACAAGAAATAACACAAAGAAAAATATGCGATAGTGGGAATGCAGGATCCCAAAAGTTCATCCATCATTCAGAAATGTGCAAGCATAGATCGAATAATGGAAAGCATAGTTTGATTACAACAACAAATCACGAATGCATTCACCATCCATATAAAGCGAAACACCGATCAATTGACGCAGAGCGCAACCGAAGAAATAAGATCCCTCAAGCGTACCCATTCATCCCAATGGTGAGCGAGAACCCAAATCAGTGACCATCACTGCATTAACTATACAAGGGGAAAGGGAGAAGGAAGAGAAGAGACGGAGAAACACAGCGAGCGAAAAAATAACGCAAAAAGGAATAGGAGAGTATAAGACTAATCCAGTGAATCGGAAAGAGAAAGAAATCAGAAAAGCGCAAAAAAAGGAGAGAGAGAGAGAAGAAAAGAGCAAAGAGGCGAGAGAAGG